TCTGCCCGAGGACAAAGACCAAAACCACCCATTTGGGCCCACCCATACTTGTGATAATTTATCGCAAAACTCATAAAGCAATTTGATGATTTATTCAAGTGGGTGAATAAACATAATTAAAACCATTCAGAAGCGAGCACTACATTATCGGCATTTTTTATTAAATAGTTGAGATATAAACTGAGAACTGCGGCCCCAAGTCCAGTGGTGTGGTCAGCACAGCCGTCTTCAAACTCATTAGTTTCCCTTTTTCTCCTCCGATTTTGGACTCTAACAGGAAAACAACCAGAATCGTGTTGGACTTGCAGGATTTTTTCCAACCATTCAAACTTGAGAAAGTCGGCGTAGCCTTCGTAGCCGCACAGGAGGCCTAAAACCGGTCATAAATACGACATTTTTTCTACAAACGAAAAATCGAACTTTGCTCGAGGAACAAGTCAAAAATTTCCTCCAAACCGACGAAATATTCAGCACTTATCGTTTCAGTGTAGATTTCAGCGCAGACTTTTTTGATCGCAGTGGCCAGGCTTTTGGGGGACATTTTGCACTGTCTCACTCTCGCCACTTGCAGGAGTAACAACCTAAAATTTTTGAGTTAATTTAAGGGTTGGCACCACTGGAAATGTCATACTTGTGTGTCAGAATATAACCAGCGCCTTTTTCGAGATTTTCCACAAATAGTTGACATTTGGGACTCAAACGGCATTTTTTGCCCTTGATATCTAGAGTGCTGTTGACAATGAGTGATAAGCACTGATCTGAGAAGCCTTCAGTGTAATTTTCGTAAGTCCTTTTGGAGAAAAGGGTTTTGACGCGACTTTCCCGCGCATAAGCCATTCGAAATTCGGCAAACTTGTATCTGATTGGTTTAGGCCACAATTCCGGTACTACCACATGTCTGGCAACTTGGTCAAATTTTAATTTCATTTTCGAAGGTTGCAAGTCTGGTTTTTATGCGGAAATGTCAAATAGTCTTAACCTTGCCACCACTAGCAAACTAGGTTAAATGGTTAAGTTGGCAGTTCCGGTTTTTTTATTTAACTTGAAAACAATGAACGCCACCAAAAAAATCTAAGAAAAATTAGAGACAAAAACACAAAAACAATTATTACATTTTTAAAATATTTTTTTCTCTGCTCTGTTTCATATAAAATGATTTATTTTTAATGTCTTTTGGCTTGTTTTTGGCATGTTTCGTAGTTAGGAGTAAGTGCGACAAAATGTTATATAACCGAGATAGCATACAGTAATTTTTCTACTACTTTTCTATAAATTTTAGAGTCTAGGAAATTACTTTAATTAAGATATTTTCATTAAAATAATTAAAACTGTCTCAAAAAATTTTGAAATACGGTTTTGTATAGAAGTCTAGCCGAGGCGGAGCCGAGTCAGTGGTTAGGTATTCTATTTTTGGTAATAAAAATCAAACTCGAAAAAAAAATAAGTAAATGACTTTAATTAAGCATTATTTTAAAATTAGTCTAAAAAACGTACCAAGGCAAAGCGCTAATAGTTATTACTTTTAATTACCAGATTGAGAACCTGTGTTTACAAAGTATAAGTACTATAAGTAAAATTTTTATTTTCATTTTTTTTTTCAAAAATTACCTATGCAAGTGATTAAAAGTAAAATTCAAAAATTCATATTTTTGTTGTGGATCATTTTTCAAAAAATCCTTAAACAGATTGGTTTCATTTTTATAAATCCTATATTGCAACATTTATGACGTCACTTGATATTGGGTAATGATGTCATATTAATTTTTCTAATGCCAACGAATATTTTTGTTTTAGTATAAAAAAAATAAAAAAATAAAATCGACCAGTTTGAGAATTTTTTTAAATAACTCATAAATATCAATTTTGTGCGTTATTTGTACTTCACCCTGTATATGTATATTTTTGAAACACGCCTAAAAATCACAAAAACTAATTAAAATTGGTAGTATTTTGTATGTTTCACTCAATTTAACTGGTTTTTGAGCGAAATTTAGTCCACAGTAAACAGGAAAACACAAATTTGGTGAAAAAAAAGAGCTGTTTCGCATGTTTTTCAACTTAGATTTCTGCAAGTTTTCTCTAAAACAACTTTTTCCAAAAAAAAAAAAGTCGAGACATTTTGCCTCAACAGAGTAGATTAACAAATTTAGAACATGTTTGTTTCAGAGCGGAAATCACTGAAATCGAGATTTTTTCCATTACAAAATATAAATTTAGAAAAATTTTTCACTGAAAAGTTTTAAAACTTTTGCGCATTTGTCACAGAGAAACTAAATAATTGCAAAATTGAATCAAAATTGTGTTTACTATGATTTTAGAAATATTTTTTATTGCAGAATTTCAGAAACATAAAAAATTTGAAAATCGGGATTAGAAATGCACTATATTTTTGTTCATTTTTCAGATTGAGAACATTTTATAATAAAAAACTAATTATTTGAAAGATTTTGAAATTGCAAAATCAGGTTAAAATGCATTATTTTCTGTAAATTTAGAAGTGTTTTATAACAAAAATTTTAAAAAATTCGAGCAATTCCGCTTAAATAAAGCAGGAAATTGTAAAATTAGATTAAAAATTCCGAGGCTAGCAATACTTTCTTGAATAATGACCAACATAAATATAATATACAAGGTGATTCAAAAGCAATGCACAAAGTTCATATTTTTGTTATGAGTCATTTTTCAGAAAAATTGTCAAACAGGTTGATTTTGTTTTTATAAATAATAAACAACTAACATTTGTTATATATTAATATAATGAAAATAAAATCAACCTGTTTGAGGATTCTTAGATGACTCATAAAATTATAAATTTTGTGCATTACTTTTGGTTCGCCCTGTATAATGTATATTTTTTAATTTAATTTGTAATTACTTTAATTGGAAACTTCTGACAATAATTTTATTGAAACTGTCTAATGTAAAACACGATGTTTTAGAAGATTTTCCATTTCCTCATAATCAAAATTAAACTAGATAGAAAAATATGTGTTCTCAAATTTCAATTGTAATTACTCTAATTAAACATTATTTTAAAAATACTTTATTAAAATTAGTTTAAAAAACTTACCAAGGCAAAGCCGAGACTAGTATAGTTTTATTTTTTGTAAGAAACTTTATGTTTGAAAATTCAAAGTAACCTTTCTTTAAGCAAAATTTTTTTTTTATTTAATTTAAATATTTGAAATTATAAAAAAAATCTCAAAATACGTTTTTTTTTCAACCAATTTGCCTTTAAGTGTTGTATTCTAAAATATCCCAACTTTTAGAAGTCTAGCCGAGGCGGAGCCGAGTCTCGTAATCACGTTTTTTCCCAATAATAGAGAAAATATTTTGTGATTATTTAGTTATTAAAAATTATTTTAAAAAACTTAGCATATTTATTTTTAAAGAATATCACGGTGAAAAATACAGGATGTCTCCGTTTGCACCGTTTTCGAGAAACGAGTCAAAAAAAAAGAAACTAAGGAATAAAATAAACCAAATTCTTTGCCAATCTCACAAAGGTGGAACCAAACCTTTTTTGCTTAAACTCTTTTATTTTTTGCAAAAATTACACAAAATGTGGTGTTCTATAAATGATACAATTTTTCGAAATTTTCTTTTGTTTTTGACTCCACACTTTTTTTATTTTTTAAATCTCAACCCACTATAAAAACATTTCTCTCATGAAGGTTATGATCTAACAATCTATCTACCTTTTATTTAATTTAAGAAAAAATCAAAATAACATTTTATCCTTTTATATTCTTTCAAAAAACTTATTTTAGCCCACTTGCAGTGTGTTTCTGTCAATATTTTTGACATCAGTTTGACAAAACCATAATTTTTAGCAAAATTAGTGACTATGGCCCAAAATTTCGACTTGGTAATTTCCGTTTAAAAACCCTTTACTTACAATAGTTCCAGCTGGGTTGCTCCTGCATTAGTGGGGCCGTTTTGGCAAAAATTTCCCCCGTCATATTTTTGAGTTGTTTGAGTTGGGCTCGATACGGCCCTGGTTGCATAACGGTATCATCAATAATCGCTGAATTGAATGATTAAAAAGGGAAGTTTTTTAAGGGTTGACTCACCGCCGGCCAAAACCACCCCAAACAAACAATCAACGTTGATTATTTCATACTGTTGCGAGATATAATCCAGGGTGAGTCCCAACTTATCCAGGACTTTATCGATCACATGATCGGGAGAGATTTTTGACAGGACAGGGAGGCACACCACCACAATCGCAAAATAAAGCCGTTTCCACATCACTGAAAATAATTCCCAGGTGTCAGGAGGTCTTATATAGGGGGGAAAACCAGTGGCGGGTCGTCGTGGGGGCAAAAACGCGACTTGAATTAGTTGATCAATTTGTTGGCTTGGATTTGGTTAAGTTGAGGGCTTTTTATTGGCCCATGTGGGGGAGAAAACGGTACGACACTGGTTAAGTGCCCGAGGACTTGATTAGTATTCATGACGGTGGCCCACTTGATGAAGCCATAAGTCTTTATTAAGACCAGAAAGTGATGAAAACAATTCTGATCCTGACAACGGCGGAATTGAGATTATTTTTACATTGAAATAATCACTTGTTTTTAGTTAGGGTAAAGTCGGGAGGGGTGAATCACTGGGAAAGATGGACTTTGGAGCGAACCCTTCTAAGTGGTCCATTTTTCCCACTCTTACCCAACTTTTCACTCTCTCAAACAAAATTCGTTACAAAGAATTTAAATTTCTCTACAATTTTAACGTTTAAACTTGTAAATATAACAAAAAATTTTTTCTACATTTTTTAATAAGAATAACTGTGTTTGCGTCGGAAAAAAAGGTCAAATATGTACTTACTTACTTTTTTAATAAAATAGAAAAAAATCTGAAAAAAAACAGTTTTTTTTTTCATTTTGAT